CTGCCAGCATTTACATTTCAATCTATTCTCATTGCAGCACATTGATGGAACTGCCATAATGGAACTCCATTATGTAATATGAGAAAGTGACAACAATACTTAAGAAGGTGAAGTTAAGAAAGGCCAGATACATACAAAAAAAATCAGTGCTGGAGGTGAAACCAATTTTTTTTGGTAAGTAGTATTGTATTTTTTCCAATTACATGTAAAGATACTTTTCAACATTCATTTTGTTTGTTTTTGTTTTTGACTAGGCAATGGGGTTAAGTGACTTGCCCAGGGTCACGCAGCTATTAAGTGTTATATGTCTGAGGTCAGATTTGAACTCAGGTCCTCCTGAATCCAGGGCCAGTGCTCTATTCACTGCACCACCTAGCTGCCCCACTTTTTTTTTTGTCTGTTTTTTCAACATTCATTTTTTATAAGATTTTGAGTTCCAAATTTTTCTCCCTCCCTTCTTCCCTTCCCCCTCCCCAAGATGGCAAGCAATCTGATGTAGGTTAGACATGCACAATCATGTCAAACATATTTCTGAGGTGAAACAATTTTAAAAGTACTCAGGGATCAGTTTTCAAAATATTTTTAAAAAGGAGAGATTCTAAAACAATGGAAAAGATCCTAGAAAGTATTATTACCCAAAACAGATGACACTCACATGTCTACCTTCTCATCTCTTAAAGATTCTTACGAGAATGTGCTATGCAAGTACTGAGCTTATCCTTACTGAAAATATGAGAAAGGAACAGCAAATATTTACAGATGATATTCTGTTGTTCAGTTGTGTCTGACTCTTGTGACCCCAATTGGGGTTTTCTTGGCAGAGATGCTGGAATGGTTTGCCATGTCCTTCTCTATCCCATCTTACAGATGAGAAAACGGAAGCAAGTAGGGTTAAGTGACTTTCAGGGTCACACAGCTAGTAAGTGTCTGAGGCCAGATTTGAACCCAGGAAGATGTCTTCCTAACTCCGGGCCTGGCACTCTATCCACTGTGCCACCTAGCTGCCCTACTGCATTAATTCCCAGACTACAATTAGATCTTACCAGCAAAACCTTCAGACAGCCAGCTTTCTGCTGCGTGTCCTACTTGGTCAGGTCCCTAGTTTGGGAAACATGATCAAATCAACTTTGCCATTGCTCCTAGAAGGGGTGTGCCAATCTATGGAATATCATTCCACTCACTATTCTTATATCTTTCTAGCCAAACACAAAGGTTTATTATCTCTACCATTAGAATATGGTATTATCTCTACCATAAAAGAATATTCAAGAATACCTTGAAGGTAGGTACTGTTTTTATTTTAACATCAACATAGCACAGAGTGAGCACTCAATGCTTTCTTGGTCCTTCAGCACTGAAAGAGGTCACTCAAAAGAGGAGCACCTAACCTTTCACAAGGGAGACACCCAGCTGATAAAGAATGCATATGACCTACATGATGACCTCAGATTGGATGGGCAGCCCATTAAGTTGTTGTTTTGTTGTTCCTTTTTGAAGAGATCAATGACATCACAGGGTGATGTCAAAAGTTGCATGCGTTATTAGATTTAAGTGAGGCAGAGTTGTGCAAAGTTGTCAGCCTCTCAGCCTCACTCTTTGTTCCAGAGTCATCAAAATCCAAGGGCAGGACAAAAATCAAGATGACTGGTAATGGTTGGGATTCGATGGATGACCTTGGTGTCTTTGATGTCTGATCGAGCTCTAGCCATTCCATATCACCTATTTCATGACAGTTGGAACGGGTGGTTCTTATCTGCTCATTCTGTGAGGTAGAGGCTTCACATACTTGGGGTAGACATCCCTCTAACTCACCAACAGGGTTGAGGCCTGTCAGTTACCCTCAACCTGGTTTAGCCCTTCTGCCGAGCTGGATTACTGGGGTGTGGCTGCTGTGCATGTTATAGCTTTTTGGAGTCACAGGTGAGAGTTGGGTGCCAGGTAGACACCAAAGGTGGATGAACAGCCTGGAAAAGGACTCAGCACTCCCTCATCCCAGAGGAGCTAGTCCGCCTTGAATACCCCATACACCCCATCAATTAAGTATATCCCTGAAGATGAACAATGAGCTTCCCAGAGTTGAATGGGAGGAGGAAATCAGATTGGATTACATTTGGAAAACTGTGCAATGCATTCAATAATCCAATATACTTTAATTTTTAACACCAAAATACTTCTGATGAATCACAATTGCAGAGAGCAAATTGCAAAGAGCAATGGAAAGATGCATAACAAATTCAAACTTGCAGCATATTGAAAATCATGACTTGCACCTAACAAGCGATATAAAATATATCACTAAGCACATGTATGACTAAAAGAAGATGGGTGACTCATATAGTCAGTCAGGGATAACAGATGTTACATTGCTATCTAAGAAATACATATATTAAAATTTTTTATTATAAACTTAATAACAATTAACCTGCTTTCCTGATCAGTTTTGGGCCCCCATTCACTGCCCATTTACAGCACTTGTTTAAGGCACAGGTACTAAGGGACCAGTTTTATGGGCTGTTCATCCAACCATTACATCATAATCTAAACAATAGACATCCTTTATCTACTTGTTTTTTCCTGGGTAGATAATTGAGGGCTTTGGGAAATTGCATGGTTCTTTTAAGGATCCTGAGCTTCTCTCTGAAGGCCCATCTTTTTAACTCCAGTATCCTCACAAAAATGTTGTTATAAATGTAAGGTGTGAAATGCTACATACAGTCTCTGAAGAATTAAGTTCAACCTCACCCAGAGAGTAATTCGGAGTAGCACAGCACCTGGGACATAATAGAGATGGAGTGGGGCCTGGCCAATACAGACCTAGTCCTTAAAACATGCATGATGCCAACTCATGTGGAAGCCTGGTGAGTTAGCTTCTGGGTATGCCTCTTAGAAGGGACCTTTTACCCTCGAACTAGTATCCTCTGACTATTTCAGAGTCAGGGTTTGCCCTCACTGTATAGCAACAAAAAAGCATTTTAACCAGCTAAGCCAGGAGTGAGCGTGCATATAAAAGACTCTAATGAAGGGAATTTTCAGCCATTTACTGCTTATGTGACCTTGGGTGTGCTCTTCCCCCCCCCCACCCCGGACTCAATCTCCTCATCTGTAAAATAAAAGGGTAGGACTAGATCTTCTCTACATTTCCTTTCATCTCTAAACCTATAATTCTATGATCTTGTGACCTGTGATTCCTTGTCCCTTTTGACTCTGCCGAGGACATCCAGTCGCTCTGTGTTTCTTTGTATGGCATTCACGAAACATTAAAAGCCCCTGTGAAAGGTTTCTAATGTACTGGGTGTGTCTTCTGTGCAAAGATTATAGAAAGGAGTGGCCCAGAATCACAGCAGGAGAAGGTGTCAGGCAGCGGGTTCGGATTTACGCTGGTGGAGGGAGCATCAGTCAGTCCATCAACAAGTGGTCTACATCACTGAGCCACTGAATTACCAAAGTGGTCAAGAAGATGGGCAGTCCTTGGGGGTTCATTGGAAGCTATCCAGGAGCAGTGAGGGGAGTGAAAAGATCTCACCTGGGCAATAAGAGTCCTGCCTGGCTTCTAGTCCCAGCTTTGTTACTAATTTACTGGGTCACCCTAGGCAAGTCATTTCTCCTTTCTGGACCTCACTTCATTGTCCTTTTAACTGAGGGGTCCAGACTAGATGATTCCCCAGGACCCTGCCAGCTCTAACACTAGATGTTTCTTTGTGCAGCCACATGTACTCAAAGAAGACCCTTGAAATCCTTTCAGGGTGGGGAAATGACAAGTTAGGTCCATGACTCTTTTGTGTTTTTCAACCTCTCAATCTGCTCCTAATAATAATAGTAATAACAATAACTAGCATTTATATAGCGTTTTGTGGTTTGCATACTGCTTTCCATATATTATCTCTTTTAATCTCCACAACATGCTATGAAGTAAGTATTATTATCATCCTCCAGTTTCCAGATTAGGAAACTGAGGAAGAGAGCAGTTAAAGCGACCTATTAATAGGTGATAATACCTATTAATGTCAGTGACTATTAAAGTTAGAGGCAGGATTCAAATTCAGGTCTTCTTTACTCCAAGGCCATTACACTATCCACTACACTGGCTGTTTGGCAGCCAGAGGGACTTTAAAAATGCCATTTGATAGCAGTTTCTTAATTTTCTGGAGTAACATCTTTTTTTTTTCTTCCTTGATTCAGGTTCAGAATTAGAGGTTGTTTCCAGTTCATTTGTTCTAATGTAGTTCTTGGCAATAGAGCACGAGGCTGCCCAGTCTAGATAGGGCGCACAGACTGAGAACTGGTTTTGCTCAAACAATTGCCAGTGTGTGTTGGAAAGACAGGAAGAAGCCCTTCACTTTTATCAGGACGTGGAGACCTTCTTTTGGAAAGCTGCCAAAGAAATTTATTAGGAAGGCAGTAATCTGAAACTGATGGGTTTTTTGCCAGATTGTGAGGGGACCCAGAAAATTTGGATCATGTAGCCCAAGACCCCCATTCTCCTCCCAGCCCCAAATCTTGGTTTAGTTCATCCCTCCGGGCCCTCTGAGTTTTCAGAAAAGAAGGAACCGTTCAGCTTTGCTACAACCGAACGGATGGGGAAGGCGGAGGAGCATCAGATTGCAAAACTGCTAGTCCCAGTTTTCACAATGAGTGGAGGGAACCTGTCTGGGGGGAGAGTCCGATCCGATCTCTCTCCCAGGATTCCAGAGCCCGTGGAACCACAACTCCCAGGATTCCCTTTCCCTCGGACTGCCCTCCTCTTGACTGGCGTGGAAATCCACTGGACCCTCCTGCCCGTCCTCTGAAGGGGAGGGTGACTCGCTTTGGAGCCCGCCCCTGGGACTCGGCGGGTGGCCTGGACGCTCGGAACGTGGTTTGCTGCGGCTTCTGCTTAACTGCGGCTGCAGGGCTAGAGTCCGAGCGGTTAGCGAGAGACCCCGGCAGGATGCCTGTGAGTACACAAGGGCTGCCTCGGTCAACAGGGTTGGCCACTTGAAATGGAGAGTGAGCACTTGACCGCTGTCCCGTGGGTGACATTCTTGGGAGCCTGGAGTATATGAGCTCGAAAGGATCCTAGAACATGGAATGTTAGAACGGAGAATGTGGGAGCCTGAAGGGACCCTAGAATAGAGGGTGCCCCAAAACAGCACCTTCCAGATCACTTCGTCGAACCCCTCTTAATTTTTCAGTTGGAGGAAACAGACTCAGAGAGAGGAAGCGACTTGCCCAAAGTTGTTCTGAGGGCGTGTGCCCCCTTGCCAGCCCTCCTCCTCCTCCTTTCTGCTTCTCCTCAAGAAAAATGTGCTCTTTCCTCCTGTGAACTAGAAGGGGCTTGCGGAGGACTCACTTTGGGATTGGGGTCCAGAGAGGGACCCAGAAATAGGGGCAGGGCACATCAAGATTTATGTAACTAGAGCTGGGAGAGGAAGCAGGGGAGTCGGGGGATTTCCAGCGGCCCCTGGTCGTCCCCAAGTGCCCCGGTGTGTTGGGTGCTTTGTATCAGGGCAATTTCGAAAAGAGCCCCGGGCAAATTTGACTTTCCTCTGACTTGTTTTTGTTTTTTTGAGGGAGCAGGTAGGCAGAACAGCTGGCTCCAGAAAATCGGGTGAGCTTTTGTTCCAGTTTAAAAGGCACCCCGCCCCACGGGCCTGGCTGGTACAGTCTGCTGCCAGGCTGCCAATTTCAGTTGTCATTCCAGTTATCAGTCTAGCCTGAGGACACACCGTAGCTCAGGTTTGGAAAGACTGGGACAAAAGGCACCCCTCATTTCGAAGGTACTAAAGGTTGACCAGTGTGCCGATCACCATTGACTTTCGGGCCTTTTTTTTTTTAAAGGTTGCAATTCCTTCCCCTAGTACCCATTTTCACAGACTTTGAGAGCTAGCCAGAAGAACCTTGGAACATAGAAGGTTAAATGTTAGATAGAAAAAATAGAATAAAAAAATATAAAGATGGAATGTTAGAGGTGGAAGGGACAGAAACTATTAAAATATAGAAAACAGAATGCTGGAACTAAAACGGACCTTAGAACATTGACTTTAGAGAATGTCTAATCCACCCACACCACCATCTCCCACCAAGAGAGGGGAAGGGACTTAAGGACACACTGCTAGTTAGTGCATAGGCCCCCTCCTAAAGCACTTTTTTTAAAAAACACATGAGGAAACTTCTCCAAATACAAACGGCTAAAAAGCAGACAAAAGTGTTGGGGATGGGGAGAGGAGAAGATCAGAGAAATGCAACAGGTAGGTTGTTCTCTGCCCCATTTCCCTGCTAGATTGCCTTCTGAATTCTTGAACTGAAGTTTTGCCTGTTTCCAGGGGCATGATTAAATCAAGGTTGTGTCTCCCATCCTGAAATGCAGATAATCTAAATCTATTTGCTAAATGATGAATTCCTTCCTAAAGGAGAAAAACAAAAAGTCACTCTCTCCACTTTTGCCTGTTTGCCCTGAGACTAGTGAAAATTATACCGTCTCCCTCCCCCTACCCCATCCTGGGTGGGTCCTTCTGAACTAGGCTGTGGTTGAGAAAGAAATAAGAGCATTGCAGGAAAGGGATCCCAGCTGTTCAGGTCCAGACTGAGCAGGCTGGCCCAGTCCCAGGCCTGGTAGGAGGAAGTCTCCCACATTCAGAGGCCTATCGAAATTAATCATCCACCATTTACATGTGCAGCATTGCATGCCAGTGGCTTTATTAAGCTCAGAGAGGGTATGACCGACATATCCATGCCCAGCATGCTGGAGCGGGCTGTTGCTAACTTGAGCCTGTTAAAGGGGAAAAATAAAATAATCTCATTCCTATAGTCTCCTGAAGTTTACTTTCCTATTAACAGTGGAATGAAACATCATTTATAAAGTATTTACTATATACTAAATGCTGGTGACACAAATTAAAAATAGAGACATTGCTTGCTTTTATGGAGCTCACATTCTAATGGGGTGACAGAACACATAAAGGAGGATTTGTGTTTGTAATGATCCCATAAGCCCCATTTTACAAATGAGAAAAATGACTCGCAGAGAGATCAGGCGTCCTGCTCTAGGGCCATGTAATTAATAAGCACTGGAGCTGGGAACCAATACTCTAGTCTAGGGGTGGGGAACCTGAACCAACATCTAGTCCTTCTCTTGAAGGCTTGGCTTCCTGAAGTCTCCTTGAGCCTAAGTAAATACCTGCTACCCCTTAACTGTGCCCAAGGGATGTCAGGACTGGAATAGGTCTTAAGGGCTATTTAGATCAAAGTGCTCATTTTACAGGTGAGGAAACTGAGGTCCAGAAAAGGGAGTTATTTTTCCAAATAGACAACACTAAATTCATGGCACAAGCAGCGTTAGATCCTTCTTGTTCTCAAGACTCTGGTGTGGGGCTCCTTCTACTGTATGACACTGCCTCTCAATCTTTTTTTTTTTTTAATTTTCATTGAAACAGTTGCAATTCGAGAAAGTCCAACTCCAGTCCTATTTTATTTGTGAAATACTATGTTATACTAATCAACCCTGTGAGCCTTTCTGATTCTTGCTGAGTCGTAGAAGGGGTGTGTGGGGAAACTGACCTAGATTGCTGGTAACCAAATTGGGGCTCTCCCACGTGCCTGGAAAAACAAAAGCAACTTCCTGAAGAACTGTTTTCAAAATAACCCACGTGGCTGAGACTGTAGGTCCTGTTTTTCTCAGTAGTAGTTTTAAGTGCATGGGCAACCAGGTAGTGCAATGGGTAGATCTCTGGGCTTGGAGTCAGGAAGACCTGAGTTCAAATGCTGCCTCAGACACTAGCAATGTGACCCTGGGCAAGTCCCTTACCCTGTTTGCCTCAGTTTCCCCATCTGTAAAATGAGCTGGAGAAGGAAATGGCAATTCACTCCACTATCTTTGCCGAGTCACAAAAAGTTGGACACGAGTAAAAATAATTGAACAACAAGATAAGTACATAGGTTATTAGATACAGAAGTGAAATATGTTGGCTGTAAGAGATGCCAAATGTGCTAATGACAAGAGACAAAAAATAAGCAGCTGGCCCTGAAAAGGCAGTATCCTGGGTTATCTGGGGATGTACGCTGAGGACCCAGCCAGAAGTTTTAGTTACTAGTTATTTTCAGTTCAGAGTGTCCTATAGAGGCCCATAACCTGATTCTGAACATTTTCCCCCCATCTATTTGTCAAAAACGCAAGAATTTGTTGGGGGTTTTGGAGTGGGAAGTGGTTTGTAGTACTTATTTACAGGGCTAGCCTTACCCATAGACAGAGTGGATGACTTGACAGTCTTGCTCTGGTAGTGGGACCTCTTTAATTGGCTTTCCATTCATCTGTGCCTCAAGTGAGAGGCAACTCTAGTCAAAAAGAAAAATTACTGGATTTTGGCTCACAGGCCCTGGGTTTAAATCCCAGCTCTGCCCCTGGCTATCTGTATGACTATGGGCATGTTGCTGGATTTCTCTGGCCCTCTCTTTCCTCACCTGTAAAATGAGGGGTCTGGGGTAGATGGCCTTCTGTCTCTAAATCTATAATCCCTTTTCTGAGCATATAATATGACCTATTCCATGCCACTCACATAGAACAAGGGTGTCCATAGAGGCATTGCCAACCAGGAGAGGAAGATCAGATTGCTAATCCTCTAACAGACTGGTTTGAAAGCAAAAGCCTGTAACTATAAGTGGCAAAGGCCAAAACTGTGGCTTAAAGGATGCCTGGACTAGAGAAAACAGGGGAACAATAACCAGCCAGAGGCCATGTTCTTCCTCTGTTTTGTTTTGTTTTTCCACTCTGGGTGGGGCTTGGTGCTCCTAGAGCTCAGAAGGTCAGCTCAGTTCTAACCTAATTCAACTAAGGACAAAGAGTATGTCAGAGCCTAGAGAGACAGAATGTACCTGGTCAGCCTTCATGCCTTAGGCCAAGGAAAAAACCTAGACTATTAGAGTTAGAAGTAGGTGAAGAGCTGAGCCCCCTCATTTTATAGATGGTGAGTTTGAGAGGGAAAGAGACTCACCCAAAGTGTCACATCAGGTCAGCTGCAGAGGGAGGACTGAAACCCAGGTCCCCAGACTCCCAACCAATCCCCTTTTCATTCTGTTCTTCTCTCCACATGAATAGAGATTAGCTGGGGGTGGAACATAGGAGGATTTCAGTTTCTGTAACAGTTAAAAAAAAATTCTGTGATTCCATGATCCTAAAGGTTGTGAGGGAAGGAAGGAAATGGAGAAGGCCACAAGGCTTTATTTGTATAGCCCAGGAGTGGGAAACCTGCAGCCTTGAGGCCACATGTGTCCCTCTAAATCCTCACATGGGGCTGTTCACATGAAGTTTGGGTTCAGTCAGAGGGCCGAATGTGAGGACCTAGAGGGCCATGTGTGGCCTGGAGGCTGCAGGTTCCCCACTCCGGTATAACCAATATGTGATTGCCCACAGGACTCCATTGCTCTAGTCTACGGTAACCAAAGTTCTATCACCCTCAATTGCAGAAATATTTGGAAAATTCAAGATCTCTAACAAGATTTAAGATAGCAAGTCTGTTGGCCCTTCTTAATATCTGTGCCAGCCTGGTCAGAACATCAAGGATCTGTCATTGTCTTAGTGTAACAATTCCCTCCACCATATGCAGGTCACAGTATAACTTAGTAAATAATAATAATTTTCATTTCTGTTCAACTCCAGCACTATTCACAATAACATATGACCTTTCTGGTCATTAGAATCGCTCTCCTCCTCTCCCCCTACTCCCTTCCCTGACTTTTTTCTTTTCTTTTTTTTTAAAATTGTTTAGTATTTTATTTTCCCCCAGTTACACATAAAAACAATTTTCAACATTTGTTTTTTAAGTTTGAGTTCCAAATCCTCTCCCTTCCTCCCTCCCCAACCCCCTTATTGAGAAGGCAAGCAATTTGACATAGGTTATACAGTCATACAAAACAACTCCATAGTAAGTAGCCTGACTTTTTTCTTGATGCTAATTGGAGATCTATCCTACAGCCTCCTCTCTGTCTTCTAGCCCTTGTTATGAGCACTAGTTCCTGAGCTAGTAAGGAACAAGGCCTGCTCCATGACAAATTCTCCATGAAGATGGCATCATCTAGAAAAGAATGGGGATTAGATGAGTTCATCCCACTTCCCCTGGGGAGCACTGAATAAGCCATGAGGAAACAAGGTGAAGGCTAATGTTTCTGGAGTTCCTGTTCCTTGTTGGCTGGGGAGAGGACCAAGCCGGTGACAAAGATGTGATTGATTATTCCATGTCTCCCCAGGAACAGAGGGACTTCATGGCATCGGAAGCTATTCTTGCCAAACCACACAAGGTCAAGATTAGAATGGTGAATTTAGCTGATGTCTTAACTAGGGCATTACCATTGTCATTCCCTGGGGTAGGGTGACTGAGACCAAGCCCCAGGGCACTGCATTTAGAGGGCACAGACGGCATTTGGATTTCATTAGCAGTATAGATACAACAGAACTTAGGAAGTTATAAAGAATAATTATTTAATGTAAGACACTTCTAGATGGTAAGAAAAGGTGAGCTCATCTGCCTTGTGGTTGATCTCCCTAGCAGCCTCCTGTCCATATTCTATGATTTCAGTCCCCTATCTCTCAGTTACCTTCTTGTGTACCTCCTCATGTTTGCCCCAGGGCAAAAGGGGCTAGTTATAGCTCTTCTGTATGGAGATAGAGAGGATTGAAGGCAGCTAGATGGTACAATGGGTAGAGTGCTGGGCCTTGAGTCAGGAAAACTCATCTTTCTGACTTCAAATCTGGTCTCAGACACTTATGAGCTGTGTGACCCTGGGCAAATCACTTAACTGGTTGCCTCAGTTTCCTCATAAGTAAAATGAGCTGGAGAAGAAAATGGCAAACCACTCTAGCATCTTTGCCAAGAAAACCCCAAATGGGGTCACAAAGACTCAGACATGACTGAAAAAAACAACAAAACAGATGATTGAAGGCCCAGAACCTCTTTTGGGAGACTGGGCACTTTTCTGAGTTAATAATAGTAACAGTAATGTAGAACTCACTTTCTTTCCTTTCATGCTGAACCTGCTTCCCAACCTCCACATCACTGTCAAGGGCCCCACTGTCCTCCATATCCAGTCAGCAGCCACAGTCTTGTTGAGTCTTCCTTCATAGTACATCCTGCGTCTGTGACCTCCTCTTCCTTGCTACAATTCTAGTTCAGGTCCAAATCAGCCCTTCCCTGGACCGCTACAACAGCCTCCGAGTTGGTCTTCTTGCCTCTGTTCTCTGTCCTCCCCATCATCTTGC